ATTTCGTATATATAGTTCGGAACAGTTACTGCAGCTAATTTTTTCGACGTTATTCACCGGAATTGTTTCAAATTTCGTATACATAGTTCAAACAGTTACTACAGCCTATGACACATATTACTTAAGCAGGACCACGTTCTCGTATAGCCCCTTATAATGGTTTTCATTTGAGCGGTATTTTCCGACGGATTTTTTTTTGAAATTTTTCAAGTATCTTCCAAAGGACCACATTCTCGTATATCCCCTATATAATGGTTTTTCATTTGAGCGGTATTTTCCGACGATTTTTTTTTTGAAAATTTTCAACTGGCTTTAAGCGTGAACTTTGTAAACAATATTTATTAAAGCACTTTTATAGCTTATATCGTGAAGGTTTTGAGTATATTTTTTTTAAAATGTTTATTGAGAAAAATGTATAGTTTGAAAAGTGGAACATTTAAGAATATTTGTTGGAGAACCCTTAGAGCTACAAGCGTGGACTTTGTAAGAATATTTGTTGAAGAACCCTTAGAGCTGCAAGCGTGGACTTTGTAAGAATATTTGTTGGAGAACCCTTAGAGCTGCAAGCGTGGACTTTGTAAGAATATTAATTGATGAACTTTTAGAGATTTTTTTAAATTTCAATAACCATTAAAGCTTTAAAGTTGAATGAAGTTGAATCCAATCATCAGTATCTTTTGCTTTTGTAATTTGTGAGGAACTATCAGAGCTTTTGAAGTTCATTTTATGAGAATATATCACGAGGAGTTTTTAGTGAGAATTTTAAGACTATATTTTAGAATCCATGAGAGCTTTAAACGTGGATTTGTAACATCATTTTGATAAAAGGACAACAGAGCTATAAGCGTGACTTTTTTTACTAATATGTTTGAGGGACCATGAAGCCTTTAAATTTGCATGTTTTAAGAGTATTTTTCAGAGCTTTAAGCTTATGCCTTATGGTTATTTTCCAGATCAGTCGGAGTTTTAACCGTGGATTTTTAAGAATATTTTTCTGTGAACTATTAGATATTTAAGCAAACATAAGAAAAATCAACGCGGATTTCTTAAGATCTAAGGTACCATGAGAGTTTTGATCGTGGGTTTTTCTAGAATTATTTTTGAGAAGAAACTGGGATTTTTTATCTTCCATCAGCCATAGGAGCTTTTAATGTAGATTTCTAAGAGTATTTATACCCTACACCACAAGGTGGTCAGGGTATTATGTCTTTGTGCATTTGTTTGTAACAGGCAAAAGGAAACGAGATAGACTCATAGTTCCTTTTGATGATCTGCATAGAATCACTTTCTGATTTGATTTATGCATGTCAGTCCGTCTGTCCGTCCGTCTGTCCATGTATTCTTGTGAACAAAATGCAGGTCGCATTTATTATCCGATTGAGATGACATTTTGCAAACAACATTTGTTAGGCATAAGGACGAACCCTATTAAAATTGGAGATAATCGGTAAAAATTTAGATATAGCTCCCATATATATCTTCGTCCGATTTGCCTTTTATTGTGCACCAAACGCGTAATATCAGCCCGAATAGTATGGAATTTTGCACATACAACCAAATTAGGCCTGAAAATAAGTATGCCAAATTTGATCGAAATCGGTTCAGATATAGCTATAGCTCCCATATATATTGCTCATCCGATTTGTTATTTTTGTCCTCCGCAGCCGTAATATGCACTCTGTAACAACAATATTTGGGGAAATATATCAAATGCAGCTCAGAAATACCTTTGCTAAATTTTATTGAGATCGGTTCAGATTTGGATATAGCTCCCATATATAACTTCGTCCGATTTACCTTTGATTTTGCCCCAAACGTCTAATATTGGCCCAAATGGGATGGAATTTGGCACATACGACCGAATTTAGTCTAGAAGGTAGTATGCCAAATTTGGTGAAGATCGGTTCAGATATAGCTATAGCTCCCATATATATTGTTCATCCGATTTGTTGTATTTGTTACCTACAGCCGTAATATGCACTCCGTAAGTGAAACATTAATTTCTCTTTATGACTTGGAATGTGATTTTTGCGGTTAAAAAATGTCTTCCCATGATAGTAAAAGGTTGTACATTTCAAAGTTAAACTTTCTTAAATTATTCAATTACCCTTATCACTACATTGTTAATTATTCCATTACATCTCATAATAGTTTCACACCATTGGCGAAACCTAAAAATTCCCAAATGGAAGTTTTATGGATGCCATTTAAATTGTTTTATGTGAGAAAAAGTTCATTAAATATTTTCCGAGCATTACCAGCATGCAAAGGCATTTAGCCTTGCATCATAAAAACGCCTATAAACCAAAAATCTTAACTCAGATTTTAGTTACGAATTTTTTGTTTTGTTTATTTAATATACGTCAACTTCAACATTTAATGTTTTTAAAGATCTCTTAAGCAAAATTTTCAAGAAAAAAATCAAATTTCAAGAAATAAACTGTCAACCGGCTTAACAGGCAACGACAGAAGTTGTTGGTGTCGCTGATACTGGCGTTGGCTGTCCGTCCGTCTGGCTGGCTGGCTTTCTGGTAATAACTCGAAGGCAAGCGACTTAGGAAATCTACAAAATTAAGTATAAAAAAGACCCAACAAAGAAGACAACTTGACGCAAAAAAAAAAAATCAACAACAAAGTGGATAATGTCGTGTATGAACGCGGAGACAGGTTTGAGCTTAAGATACATTTTAATCGTTCAAAAGTCAGGAAGGCTCATGCTGACGAAATCATTTCATTTGAATATTAAAAATTAATTGCCATATAGCAAAGCTATTCGGAGATATCAAGTTTCTGAACTAATAAACTAAATACACCACCCACCCATTGATATTTGCTATAAGATTTTTATAACTTGATATACTTCTTGTATTTTTTCTTGGAATGTTCTAGATGATGAGTAAGAAACCTTCCGGTTCACTGAGATTCAATATGATTCTGCAAAAAAATTGTTAAAAAAAAGAGCGCTGTAGAAATGCGACAAAGAGAATGGATTTGAAAGCAGAAGTATTTACTCTTAGTTGAATAATTTAAGAGTTGTGAGTATACTGGCCCAATACCAAGTTGGATTAGAGAAACGAAGGTATTCTATCCATAGAAGAAGCTCAGAAGAATAGCTTCATAAGGTCTTCTATTTATAGAAGATCCTCAGAAGGTCTTCTATACATAGAAGGGCCTCAGAAGGTCGTAGAAGAGCTTCAGAAGATCATCTATAAGTAGAATAGCTTCAGAAGTTATTCCATCCATAGAAGAGCTTTAGAAGGTCTTCTATCTATAAAAGAGTTTTTCTATCCATTGAAGAACTTCAGAAGGTCTTCCATCTTTAAAAGAGATCTTATATCTATTGAAGAACTTCAGAAGGGTTCTGTCTATAGAAGAACTTTAGAAGTTGTTTTATTCATACAGGAGCTTAAGAATCTTTAATATCCATAGAAGAGCTTCAATCCGTAGAAAAGTTTCAGAAGGGCTTCTATCCATAAAAGAGTTTTAGAAGTGATTCAAAAGGTCTTCTATTCGTACCTCCTGAAGGCCTTATATGCTTAGAAGAGCTTCAGGAGGTCTTCTATTCATAGAAGAGCTACAGGAAGTCTTCTATTTATAGAAGAGCTACGGGAGGTCTTCTATTCATAGAAGAGCTACAGGAGGTCTTCTATTCATAGAAGAGCTACAGGAGGTCTTCTATTCATAGAAGAGCTACAGGAGGTCTTCTATTCATAGAAGAGCTACAGGAGGTCTTCTATTCATAGAAGAGCTTCTGGAGGTCTTCTATTCATAGAAGAGCTTCGGGAGGTCTTCTATTCATAGGAGAGCTTCGGGAGATCTTCTATTCATAGAAGAGCTTCGGGAGATCTTCTATTCATAGAAGAGCTTCGGGAGATCTTCTATTCATAGAAGAGCTTTGGGAGATCTTCTATTCATAGAATAGCTTCGGGAGATCTTCTATTCATAGAATAGCTTCGGGAGATCTTCTATTCATAGAATAGCTTCGGGAGATCTCCTATTCATAGAATAGCTTCGGGAGATCTTCTATTCATAGAATAGCTTCGGGAGATCTACTATTCATAGAATAGCTTCGGGAGATCTTCTATTCATAGGAGAGCTTCGGGAGATCTTCTATTCATAGGAGAGCTTCGGGAGATCTTCTACTCATAGGAGAGCTTCGGGAGATCTTCTATTCATAGGAGAGCTTCGGGAGATCTTCTATTCATAGGAGAGCTTCGGGAGATCTTCTATTCATAGGAGAGATTCAGGAGGTCTTCTACTCATAGGAGGGCTTCAGGAGGTCTTCTATTCATAGGTGTGAACTCCAGGAGGTCTTCTGTGAATAGAAGAACTTCAGGAGGTCTTCTGTGAATAGAAGAACTTCAGGAGGTCTTCTAGAAGAGCTTGAAGAGGTCTCTTTTATGAAAAGGGGAGCTTTTGTAGCTCCTACTAAAGCTATGGATAGGAGACCCTCTGATGCTCTTCTGTGGATAAAAACCTCCTGAACCTCATCTATAAATATAATACCTTCTGAAGCTAATTTATGTTTAGAAGTTTTTCTGAAGCTTTTGTATGTATTTAAGGCTTTTTGAATCTCTTTCATGAATAGGGGATCTCATAAGGCATTTTTATAAAAAAGGAGCTTTTACAGCTCTTCTATATATAATAGACTTCCTAAAGCTTTTCTATATTTAGAAGACATTGTGAAGCTCTTCTGTTGACAGAACCGCTTCTAAAGCGTGCTGTCTTCAAGAAAGCTTCTAAAGACTTACCATAACTTCTCAGTACATGAAAGACTTTTAAAGGTTATTCTACTGTCTACAGATGATTCAGTTTACAAAATATATACCTGCAATACAGTAACCTAGCTGTGAGCACGTCTTCCTAAACATTCACTAATAGAATTCATCCCCCGAAGGAATAATAAATTATAATTAATCAGTCTATCTTCACTTGATAATAAATTATTAACTTTACAAATTAAACTATTTTATTTTATCTTTTGTTTCTTTTCATTTCAGTTTCCAATAGAGATGTTCTTCGGCGACAAGTTTTAATTTGCATAATTTATATCTAATTCAAAATCAAAAACGAAGAGAAGCCGAAGAAGCGGAGCAAAGACACACCGTAACTCTTCACACTTTAAATTTTGAAATTCAAAACAGCTTCAAAGCCAAGGTCACTTAGCAACAACAGCAACAGCAACCAAAAAGACGGACAACCATCAAACCAGACATCATCAACATAAAATTTGAAAAATAAAGTGTGCCACAATAAGCGTGCGTGTGTGTGTGTGTTTGTGTGCGTGCATGCGGGTCTTCTGTCGGTTCGACGAAAAATGTATTTATTATTACCAAATATTTGTCAACGTTAGTGCTAAACGCTTGTGGTAGCCGCCATTAAGCCTATGAGTGATAATTTGGAACAAGGCTTGTGCACGGAACTCACCCATTCACTAAATAACCATCATCAAGCTCCTCGTCCGCATTGTAGAGGCAAGCGACATCGATTGGTTGTGACAACAAGCAAAGAAACTCAACTCAATTTGTCTACGTCTAATCCATCCAGTCAGCCAACCATCCTCAAACGCATCTGAAAAATTAACAGTGTTGCCATTTACATACCCCATCTCCTGGCTCCGTATCTCTCATTCTGGCCTCTGGCACCATGGTCTTTAAATATTTGCAAATAGTCATACAAAATCTCTTTGACATTTTGAAAATCTATTTGAAATTTGCCATATTGGCTTTGGGTTTGTATCTCGCGGCCGAATGGTATATTGTGCGTTTCGGCATCGATCTGGATGATGAGCGGGCCACATTGGTGCCTAAACAACTGGCCGAGAATAGCACCGTGCATAAGGTTTATCGATTTGTTGTGGATTTTTTCTTTAGATGACAACCACGGCAAACATGTCATTCAGCGACAACAAGAACAACCAGTTTTATGATTTGATTTAAAGTGTTTCTGATATTTGAAAATTCAGAAGAAGACATTGCATACGTGCGAGTGTATCTTTTTCATATATATATATATATATATATATATATATTTATTTTTTTTTTTTTTTTGTGTTAATTCATTCAATATCAAATATCAAGTTCTCAATCAAACGGACAGCATTATATTTTGGATGATTGAGAAAGATGTGCAGTTTTTGAAATTTAATATTGTATTTATTAATAAATGTTTATTTTAATTGAATAAATATTTTTATTTTACTTTATTATGAAGAATAATGAGAAACCATATTTATGGGTCATTTTTTAACTCTGCGGAAGAATAAAATTGGGTTTTCGATATAAACAAGTTAAGAAGAAACCCTCAGCCAATGTTCGATTATTTAAATAGATTTTGACTTCTGTTATGATTATTCCAATTGTTGATCCTATATGGAGTAGGTTCCTAAGGGTGGGCCATAATTGTCCATTTCGTATCGGACCTATTTAAATATGACATAAATATTGCGACGTGCCAAGATGGGACTATACTGGTCACTTTATATGAGATATGTGTGATTGTTTTAAAAAATGTTAAAATGCTGAAGCACCAGATATAGTAGACCGAAGTATTCCATTTACATACTTTATCTAACACAGAATAATATTGATATAGGCAAAAATTTCAAAAAAGTCGAACATTTACAGGGTGAGATAAAAAAACTACAACAAAGTCAAACGCCATAATTTTTACTTTTTTTTATACCCTACACCACAAGGTGGTCAGGGTATTATGTCTTTGTGCATTTGTTTGTAACAGGCAAAAGGAAACGAGATAGACCCATAGTTCCTTTTGATGATCTGCATAGAATCACATTCTGAGTCGATTTATGCATGTCCGGCCGTCCGTCCGTCTGTCCGTCTGTCCATGTATTTTTGTAAACAAAGTACAGTTCGCAATTATTGCCCTATCCAGATGAAATTTTGCACAAATCATTTGTTTGGCCCAAGGACGAACCCTATTATAATCGGTCAAAATTTAGATATAGCTCCCATATATATCTTCGTCCGATTTGCCTTTTATTGTGCACCAAACGTGTAATATCAGCCCGAATAGTATGAAATTTTGCACACACAACCAATTTAGGCCTGAAAATAAGTATGCCAAATTTGATCGAAATCGGTCCAGATATAGCTATAGCTCCCATATATATTGTTCATCCGATTTGTTATTTTTGTCCTCCGCAGCCGTAATGTGCACTCTGTTACAACAATATTTGGGGAAATATATCAAATACAGCTCAGAAATACCTTTGCTAAATTTTATCGAGATCGGTTCGGATTTTGGATATATCTCCCACATATAACTTCGTCCGATTTACCTTATATTGTGCACCAAACGTCTAATATTTGTCCAAATGGGATGGAATTTGGCACTTAGGACTGAATTTAGTCTAGAAGCTGGTATGCCAAATTTGGTGAAGATCGTTTCAGATATAGCTATAGCTCCCATATATATTGTTCATCCGATTTTTTTGTATTTCTTACCCACAGCCGTAATATGCACTCCGTAACAACGATATTCAGGGAAATATATGAAATACAGCTCAGAAATATCTTTGCCAAATTTTATGGAGATCGGTTCCGATTTGGATATAGCTCCCATATATATCTTTATCCGATTTAAAATTAATTGTGCACCAAATGGGCAATACAAGTCCGAATTTAAAAGATACAAATGCTTCGGCATATTTAGTCCATTGAACTTTAAATTATAATTATAATCGTAGCGCGTATGATTGAACTCTTCCATAAAAACTTTTAATTGTTATGTGGAGCTCAACTAAATTAGCAAAGTGGTGTAGGGTATCATAAAGTCGGCCCGTCCGACTTTAAGTCTTTCTTTACTGGTTTTTAAATGTCAAAATGTGAATGAAGTACCAGATATAGTCGACCGAAGTATTCCATTTACATACTTTATCTAACACAGATAAAAATATTTATATAGGCAAAATTTCAAAAAAGTCGAACATTTACAAGGTCAGATAAAAAAACTGAAACAAAGTCAAACGCCATAGTTTTTACTTTTTTTTTAATTTTTGAATGAAAGCAAAAAATTTCGGAAAGATCATCAAATTTTATATTAAGTCTAGTTTTTAAACTGCTGTACAACGAATGTTTTCTCATCGGAGAAAACCAAATTCGGCAGTTCACCACTTTCGGCCAAGCGAAGCAACTCTATAGCTCTTTTGAGTCTATTTTCTTTCTGTTGCGGTGTAAGTTTTTGCACTTTTAGGATTTTGAATGACTTTACCCCCAGTTAATTTTTCAATATTTGACGAATGGAATATTGCGATATGTTTAACTCACGAGCCTTGTTTCGGCCACTGCGATGCGGGTTTCGATCAAGTTGCTTCTTTAATTTTCGAACCATTTCTGCTGATGATGCTGTTTTCTTCCGTCCACTTCCTTGACATCGGGCTACGCTACCAGTATCACGTAATAGGTAACGAGCGATGGTCCGAGACACAAAAGATTTATACACATTTAAATGCTAGAGTACCCTAACGATAGCCACTTGTGGTTTTCCAGCCAAATATAAAGAAATCACACTATCACGCTGGAATTCCATCACGAATAACTTTATTTCTGGAAAATTCTCACCAAAATGCTTTTGTACGCTTGTAAACAATTTAATGAGCTGTCACTGGAATAATTTTAACAACTGTCGGACGAGTGGTTTAGAAATGACAGCAGTCTGAAATTGGTTGCAGTTTATTTCCTCTCACCTTGTATCCAATTTTATGCGAATACATAACTTCCATATTCATCTGAAAGAGAAATATTTCTGGTTGACAGAAATATTTGAACATAGCAAGTTGTAAAGAATCGTGTTGATGGAATTATTGAGTTGTGCCAAGTCTGTATGGAATCGAATGTTAATTGCAAAATTTTGACCCTTAATTTTTTGTGTTACTTTTTACAATTTAAAATTCTGTCTAGCTTAAAAAACACCCTTTATGATTATCGGTATGCCTTTATGGTCTAGGACGAATATTTCAAGGCGTTACAATTTTTTTATGTGTCCCAAACAAACTTAATATGCTCTATCCAAAAAATCCATGATCTATAAATATTTTTTACCATTTTTCCGGAACGCAATTTCAAACCGGAAAAATAGCCAGATCTTACCCAGCTAAAACTATATTATAAATAATTTGTATTTCCATAATTCGAAGAAGTCTAATTTGATTATAGACATATGTGTGGATTTCTTTATAAATTTTTTTTATGACACCAACAAATTAACGGCTGATGTGGTTTTACCTCAAATGTGAGTTCTTAGTAACTGCCCCCGTTACTTTGGATTGACGTCAACCGACATCCAAATGAATGCGAATTTATGTTTACCTAAATGTATCGAATTTTTAATGAACATTCAAACTTTAATATTTGTACCGAAATTAAAAAAAAACAATGTTCTATTTTGTTATTTTTGTAGTACTTCAAATCCAAAGCAAATACCATGACTTCTATAACAAAAATATTTATTTAAAAATATACATCAATTGAATTATTTAATGGCAAAAAAAAGAAGTTTAATCGAATGATTGGCAATCAAGGTCTTAAGAGAGAGGGATTAAGTTCGAAAAAAAATGAAATGTTAAAATATTTGTTTAGTTTCATGCATATGTAAGTACAGCGAGTATGAACATAAATAAGTATATCACTTAAGCTATCGAATTTGCCGGAACACCTGTACCTGTCCGTATCTCTTGCAACACTGTTATACAAAACATTGTTGATTTTGTCGGCATTTTAGTCAGTGCACGTTGCATTCGACCTTGCATTGTCGTATAGTGTTTATACCTTTCATGCAATGCAATGTGCCAACAAATTCGTAAACATTTTATTTAGACATGTCAAAAGTGCAGAAAAATCATAAAAGCATTGTGTCAAATTGATTTTGTCAAAGCAATGACATTTTTTGATTGCACTCGTTGGCTGCGAAGAACAAAGATTGTCTTCATAAATTTATACATTCAAAAATACTTCAGTATGATCTAAGAAGAAATATTTTACAGTGCGGACCATACTGAAAAAGACCAAACATAACTAGCATACACAATATTTTAAATTAAAAGTTAAAAAGCAGTAAGTGAGGCCGGACCGAACTTTGAATATTCTCAACCATTTGGAACGAACTTGACAATTTTCAAAAAAAAAAAAAAAAAAACCAAAAAATCCGTTATAATTTTAACAAGTAAAAAAAAAACATTAAGTTCGACCGGGCCAAACTTTTAATACCCTCCACCTTAGGGTAAAAGAAACATTAGAAGAAATGTGGCAAAAACCATTAAAATGCCGAATATCGGGAGGTACCGTTATATGGGGCTACACCAAAACGTGGACCTATAATTACAATGTTTCGCAACACGAACTAGGACCCATTATGACCCACAAATACCAATTTTTAGATAAATCAGTGAAAAAATGTGACAAAAACCATCAAAATACCGAATATCGGGAGGTACCGTTATATGGGGGCTATATCAAATCATGGACCCACGCATGCAATGTTTCACCACCGAAGCTGGAACCCATTATGACCAACAAATACCAATTTTCAGACAAATCCGTGAAAAAATGTGGCAAAAATCATCAAATTACCGAATATCGGGAGGTACCTTTATATGGGGGCTGTACCAAAACGTGGACCTATAATTACAATGTTTCGCCACACGAACTAGGACCCATTATGACCCACAAGTACCAATTTTTAGACAAATCAGTGAAAAAAATGTGGCAAAAACCATCAAAATACCGAATATCGGAGGTACCGTTATATGGGGGCTATACCAAATCATGGACCCATACATGCAATGTTTCGCCACCGGAGCTGGAAACCATTATAACCCACAAATACCAATTTTTAGACAAATCCGTGAAAAAATGTGGAAAAAAAGCTAAAATACCGAATATCGGGAGGTACCTTTATATGGGGGCTATACCACAACGTGGACCTATACATGCAATGTTTTGCCACACGCTCAGGGACCCGTTATGACCTACAAATACCAATTTCCAGACAAATCCGTGAAAAAATGTGGCATAAATCATCAAAATACCGAATATCGGGAGGTACCGTTATATGGGGACTATACCAGAACGTGGACCGATATATCTTATTTTCAATACCAACCATCCTAGACACAATGCAAATAGCTCTGCTGAATTTTGGCGCTCTACGTCAAATATTGTGGGCTGT